ATACTAACTTAACCAAATTTAAGTGGATTCTGTGTAAGAATTCAGAGTTATTACAATGTAAAATTCTAAGTTAGTGCAATTTACAGTTGAGTTGACAAACATCAGAATTCAGAGTTGAGCAACCTCAAAAGCAAAACTTAAAATATTTAGTTTAATTGCCCAACTTAAAATTTTATCGAAGTTTGTTGCCTTGAAATTTTGAGTTCACCCAACTTTTCTTTTTTTGCAGTGGTTTACGTCTCACCTGCACCTTCACGAGACACATGACGACTTAAGTAGTTTACATACATAAACTTTTGAAAAAGTAGCATTTATTTGTTGGGGGGATTAAAAACCAGATGATGGCTGATGATGTCATCTGAGGCTGATGGGATGAAGAAGGTGATGAAACAGTGTATAGGCTTGCTGGTGATGGGGAAGTGGAGGTTTGCACGTGACAATGGCATGCATGAACTTGAGTAAGAGAAAGTTGTAAAGGGTTGAAAAATGTGTTTTGTTCTAAGCTAAAAAAACAAAGGTTATTTAAAGGTTAAAAATGGATCACAAGATTCAAGGTTCAAAGTCATTGGGACATTGTAAAAGTTAATTATAGTGAAAATACAGTTCATTGCTAAAAGAACAAGTTAAATGAGTTAAAAAGAGATCCCAATATATTTTTTTATGTTTATGTATCTCAAATAGCTATTTAAAGCCTGATTCCTGTGCACTGAGCGAAGTACTATGTTATTACAATACCGACCTGGGTCGCTAGAGGGCGCATAGCGCCTTTGAGGAGCATTATACCCCAAAGACGCAAAATCTGCAGAATAAATCCTGCAGCCGAGCTGAACACAGCCAAACTTAGTTGCTTCTTTGTATTTACATACAGACAGACCACTGCAGGTTAAAGACACACTCCTCCCTGGCACCCCTAGGCCAGGTCGGAGGAGCAACAAAGTCATATTTAAATAAAGAGTGGAGCAGTGCTATAGGATAAATGTTTCCAGGTGATATGAACAGCTGATGCTTGCTTAGTGTGAAAATGGAGCTTTAAAACCCGCGTGCAGAATATAAAGTCTTCCTGACTGAACTTTCCCTAGAGCTACATGTATCTGGTTAAATTATTTGTTTTTCTGGATTCATTCATTCCCAATGGGTGACAAGAAATATGTTGATCTTTTCAATCCTATATGGAGCAGTGAGACAGTTTTCAATAGTTTTGTGTCCTAAAAGGGTCACCAAATGGTTGCTTAAACCAAGCAGAAAATAGGTCTCAGTAGAGAAAATAAATAAAAATATTGACAAAGTCTCCATTTATCAAGTAAAACACTATGCCTTTGCCAGGATTAAGAAACATGAACAATGAAAAGCTATCTGCAAACTACACCGCATTTTCTGAACAACCACAACAAAGAAGTGATTTTTTTCCTACTCTAGTGCCTCCTTGATGCCCTTTTGCTTTGTTGGATACAGTATTTGCTTAGGCTATAATGCATCTACCAACAACTTTTTGAGGATCATTTGTGAAGTGTTGATCTTTCCATCTTTGTTAAGACATGTTTGTTAAAGTTTGTTTGAGTCCAGATGAGTTAAACAGAATCACATTTGGTTCCTTAAACGCTCATCATGGTGAGTACAAAGAAAAAGCTACCATCTTTAACAAACAGAAACCATGGACAGTGAATAAAGGATTATGGCTACTTTGGTCTTGTATGTACTTAAAAGTGAAGTAGTGAAAGAAACATAATGTTCTTCACTCAGGTAAATCATCACAACAACTTGAAAGCTTTAGGTGGGATGATTTTTATTTCAATCTTGTAGGGAGTCAAACTTTTTTGAGAGTAAATCTTGTTTTTCACCAGCAGATGTCCCCGCAGAGCAAATATTATCCGGCAGCCTCTGCTGCTGCTATTGTACTCCTGTCATGTGTGCTGATGATGGACTTATGATGGGTCTGTGTAGATTATATAACAGAGAATAAGGTAGGGTAAAGCTTGACATAACATTTGTAATAAATTGGCACTATACAAATAAAGATTGATTGATTGCAGGTCAGACTTTATCACATGTATTGTGAGCTTTAAGCCAGTTTCAATAAGTCTGTGATGAGGTCTGAAGCAGCAACATGTCATAACTATACAAGCAATCTGATAGATCCTGTAATAAAGAACGAGTAACAATCGTATGTCTTTCTGTGAGATTTGTAAGACATTTTCAAAAGGACTAGCCTATATGGCCAACTGGCTCCCCTCAGGGCTGTGTGTGCCCTCCTCTGCTCTTCATTCTCTACACCGACTGCAGAACCACACAGCCAAACTGTCCCCTGGTGAAGTACGCAGACGACACAGTTCTCCTGTCTCTGCTGTCAGGCCCCTCTCAGCACCATGGACCAGTTCTTCAGGAGTTTGTGGAGTGATGTGAGAGGTCCTGCCTCCAACTGAACATGAGCAAGACCAAAGACATGGTGGTGACCTTCTCCAACAAGCAGAGGGAACTGGCTGCAGCTGCAATCCCCACAATCCATAGGAATCCTGTTAAACTAATAGAGGAGTAGAAGTACCTGGGTACCACCTTTGACGTGCTGAAATTCTCCTCCAACACCGAGGAGATTCTCAGGAAATGTCCGCAGCGAAAATACCTCCTGAGGAAGCTCAATTCCTTTGGAGTCAGTAAGAACATTCTTCTGACCTTCTACTACTCCTTCATTGAGAGCATTATTACATTTTCTATGACCTGCTGGTTCCACTCCACCACCCTCCAGAACAGAAACCACCTGCAGAGCATGGTCACAGTCTGCTCTAAGATCACTGGACTACCTGTAAGGACTCTAACATCCATCTACGAGCAACAGACTCTCAGGCTAGCAGGTCGGATTATGCAGGAAACCCATCACACGCTCTCTTCCCAGCGTTTGAGTGGCTCCCCTCAGGACGCTGGCTTCGCTGTCCCTGCTGCAGGACACAGAAGAGAAGAGAAAATCGTGGCTCCTGCTGCCTCTCTTGCTCTGGTAAAAAACAATAGGCCGACCCAGGTGCATGCTGGTTCTCTACCTGCCTCTTATTTAAATAACCTCCGGTGCCCACAGTATTCCCCAAATACCTAACAAAAATACTAATACAAAACTAAATTTACTAAACAAATAACTAGCAAAAAGAAAATATTATCCAAAATCTTTTCTAAACAAAGAAAACGTGTAGAATGAATAAATAAACAACACCATCCAAATATTAGTAAACTAAATACCAAAACTAATTCTAACCACAATTAAATAGCTCCAACAAGTTATATTGTATATATTAGTTCTGTTGTTCCATTTTTCACCATGCACCTTATAACTTATCATTTAGTTTTGCCTACTTGCACATAGCTTTGTATGTATATATATATATATATATATATATATATATATATATATATCTCGTTTACTGCACATAGTTCTGTTTACATCTGTCAGTCCTATCACTGTCCACACTACTTTTCTTATATTTTGTATGTTTAGTTTAAGCTTTAAGTTGTATTTAAACTGACTGTTTATATTTAGGTTAAAATGTTTCACCTGCCTGCACTGTTGTTATTTTACTGCTCTGTGTGATTTTGAATTGCCCCCCGGGGACAAAAAGTTTTTTGAATTAAACTGAATTGAATTTAAACCTGCTGCAGACTTGAATATACGTATAGAAGAATCAACTTTTCTACTACTGGGGTTAAATACTAACATTGTAAAAATATTGATGCCCCTGTTATTAAAAACGTGCAAGTGCATGATCTGTGTGCAAAGATCGGAAAACTGTCACCTTCCTTAAATAAATAAAGCCCTTATTCTATCATTTCTGTCACATTTTGTTTGGCTGATTCTTATTAATTATAAAAGTATGTGTAGTGTTAGCAGTAACAGCTAAAGCCACTGAACTTGCCATTTATAATAATAATAATAATAATACATTTGATTTAAAACACACTTTACCTTTAAACAAAAATCTCAATAGCAATAGTCAAAGGTGAAATCAGAGTTAAGAACGTAAGCATAATCTAAATCTAAGCAACATCTAAAAGCAGTGGTTTAAGGGAAAAGGTCTTTTAAAGAGGAGAGTTTTTAAGTCTTTTTTAAAGGAGTCCACTGTCTGTGGGGCTCTCAGGTAATCATGAAGAGTATTCCATAGCCTTGGGGCAGCAGAAGAGAAGACTCTGTCCTCCAGGGAGCAGAGCTTAGTCCTGGGGGTTTGGAGGCAATTTGTGTCTTGTGCAGGTTAGTGGGGTGAGCAGTTCTTTGAGGTATGGAGGGGCATTTCCGTGTATGCATTGATGGGCGAGTAATGTGATTTTATATTCGATCCTGAGTGAGACGGAAGCCAGTGTAGTGAGTGCAGGATGGGTGTGATGTGCTCGTGTTTCCGCACTCTCCTCAGGATCCTGGTCGCGCTGTTCTGTATGTACTGGAGTTTCTGTATGCTCTTGCCAGGGAGCCTGGAGGAGACAAAAGCGTGGACGAGTTTCTCAGCGTCTTGGAGGGTGAGTGAGGGGCGGAGTTTAGCAATGTTCTTGAGATGGAAAAACAAGGTTTTGCAGATGTGTTTTATGTGTGAATCAAAGGTTAGATGAGGGTCCATTTTTACGCCTAGGTTGGTGATGAGCAGTGAAAGATGGATGTCTTGACCAGAGAAAATATGGTGGTTATGGGAGATGATTGAACTTGGTGAGGTGTTTGCCGACTAGCATGGCTTTGGTTTTTGAGCTGTTTAATTGGAGGAAGTTTTGACTCGTCCACGCTTTTATCTCTCCAGGCAGGTGGTGAGTGTGGATGAAGCTGGTGAGGCTGTGGACGAGGTGGTGTGGGTTTTCATGTACAGTTGCATGTCGTCAGCATAGCAGTGGAATGAGATTCCGTGCCGGGTGATGATGTGACCGAGGGGGAGCAGGTAGAGGGTATATATAAGCTACAGTGTCAGTAATAAAGACAAAAGTATGTGTAGTGTTAGCAGTAACAGCTAAAGCCACTGAACTTGCTATTTATATAATATATATGCTTTTATAGGCTATATTTTATTTTAGTCTATAAGAGTTCAAATCTTGAATTCCCAGAGCACAGGAAGCAGGAGGAGAAAAACAAGTGACAGAATACATGTGTAATATGTTAGATAACTACTGATTTAAATCCTAAAATTACCTAACTTTATCATCAGAAATTAGGGGAACATTCTATGTTCAAATACATGTACTGGCTTCTTGTAAAGGGTTTTATGCTCTCGGTGCAAGGCAAATTCCCCTAGGGGCAATAAAGGTTTTATTCATTCGATGCAGCAGCCAGTATGTCCTCCTTCTTGTTTGGATTCTACGCCAGAATGATCTGCATTTCTTTTGACCAAAGAAGGTAGGCGGTTTTAAGGCACCCTGACACGACCGTTTTGGACGCCCCTCAGTTTGCGAGATATGAGAGCAGTTGTCATGGCAAACCAACAGGAGTTGCAGCAATTGAAGCAGTCAAGCAAACTGATTCAGATCTTTGATTCTACCCAACCTAAAAATCTCGGTATGTTTCTAAAAAGTTCCACCACCAGAAACATGGTAAAAGAGCCAAAAATATTGGAGCTGCTTTTGTAAAAAATGGAAAGAGATTAGAACACAGAAAGGTTTCAAGACTAATCTGAGTTACAATAGAACAGATGATCAGTTGACGTTTCTAGACCTTGAAGTACATAACCTGTTAAAGGGCAGGTTCTGATCTCAGCAGCCCTGCTCTCTCCAGTGCTTTGTCAACATTGGGAATTAGTTTTTCGTGAAAGTCCCACAGGCGTGTATCCTCATTGAGCTCCTTGGCATCCAATTTTCCCCTCAGAGAACCACGGACGTGAATGATCCGACAAACGTCTGGGGGAACTTTGTATGTGGTTCCAAAAGCCTTGAGCACATCATGCACAGAAACCTGCTCCACCAACCTGTTAATCACAGAGACACAAAAGAACAGTGTATCAGTGACCCTCGTCTTGGCTTGGAGGCATATGTTTTGGATCCGGCTGCACTCTGAATTGAGCTTCTGTTTGACTTAGAGCAGACTGTCCTTCCAATGTTATTCTCCAATTCTGAATAACTTCATGTCTATTAGGACTCTGATTTGCTGTAAGGAATATCCCCCATCAATCTTTACAACATTTAACCCATTTAGATTGGATGCAACGTTTGCCTGTCCACCTTTAAGATCAGATCTGACGCTGACGTGCACATACCTTTAGGACTTGATGCAACGTCGCCATGTAACATTGTTTTTGTTGTTTTTCATTGATAATTCTAAAAAAAATTATTGCACTTTAGTGCACAGGCATTTATTGAGGTTTAAGCTTTCACATATTTCTAATTTGATGTCTCTTTCTGCTCCAAAAGCTGAAAAATTAAGAATTTAGTCCACATTGAAATTCTTTGCTGTTTTTCTGGAGTTTTGGGAGGTTGTTGTCAAAAAATGCTCAGGTTTGAGAGGGTGTTTTTTTTTAGGCAAGATTAGGGAGGATTAGGATTAGGAAAAACTTTTTACAATGACTGAAAATGTTTTTTTTTTCAAAAAGACTTGGCAAAATACACAATTCATAGTACCAAAACACTGGCTCTTCTGACTAAGTGAGCAAGTTATCAGTCCAAAAATCCTCATCCTACCTTGGCTGAACTATTAACTTGTGCGGGTGATATTTTGTTCTGTCGGGGTCCTCCCTGTAGATGTGCTCCAGAATATTGAACCCCGGCACTTCGTCCCACTTAGGTAGATGAAACCTCTTGCTTGGCTCGAAAACAGTCTTGGGGAAGACATGATTCTCAATGAGGAACACACCTGTCTGTAGAATGTGACACAACATGGAAGACGGGGGGAAATATAAAAATATTAATACATGTCAAATATGATTGTTTTGATTCTGTTCTAGCAAAAGTGGCCTACCTTTGGATGCTGCTGTTGGAGTGTGTTCATCAGAGACATCAGGTTGTTGTGTTGGTATGGCATTATAATCTCATCAATATCGTTCAACAGGACGTAACGCGACCGGTCCATGGATCTGTAAACACACTCGTTAAGTGTAGCCAGTTGACCAAAGTAATGCACGTCCCCCCCGCTCAAAGAGTAGAGCCAGCCCCAAGATGGACTCAGAAACAAGTCGATCGGCCAAGGAACTATCTCCAGGAAGCCTGTCCTGCTGTAGCTCTTCAACAGGAGGTCCAGTTCTGGGCCACAGCTGGTGTTGTAGATCACCACCCTGTCAACACCTAGCAACCTGCAGATAGGTAAATCAAAGGTTCAATCATTTGTTCAACCAATTAAAAGAAATAACACAGTTAGTCATATTGTGCTAGTGATTTCCAGCTTTTTTGGCAGCATTTTTTACATCTCTTGTAGCTTACATATTGACATTTCAAAGCAGGATATTCACGCCCCTGTCTGCAATGTTTTTATGCATGGATGCAGAATGGTTGGGGTTTGTTGTTCCACCCATGATCTATCTTCAGATGTAACAGGCGCAACAGGGGGAGACAGTGAAAATCGGTAACAATGTGTAACATTGGAACAAACTAGTTAAAACAGATTTTTGTACAAATTTGACTCACCATGTCATTAATTAACGACTCTGGCGACTAGTGGCACCCTAACCCTAACCCATTACATAAATTAGGGTCGTGTTAATGGAAGTTAATTGGCCAAAACCGTTGACATCAGGATAAGGCAAAAGAAGGAGACAGTAGAACAATGTTGGACCGTAGCTAAAGAAGTTCCGAGATGAAGCATTAGAAGAGGTAAAACTGACGACTTTGATGTCATAATGACAAAGGCTGTACTGAAGGGTAAATCACTGCGTTCAAAAGTATTGGAATGGATAAGTGTTTGTTAGAACTTGAACTTTTCAAAGTATGACAACAGCAGTGGAGGGATAATCAGATATTATGTGATGCAATTCAGTGCACTTTCTACAGAACCTTTCAAATATTTAGAGAAAATGCCTTAAGGTTGATTTGGAGCTGTGTAATGTGTGGTGTGATGCTGACCTGTACATCTCCAGCGTCTGTACAAACTGAAGCACGTTGTTGATTCCTCCAAACAAATTAGAGATACAGACTGTGAAGTTAAACTGCAACTTTTTCTCCTCATTCCCTTTGGTCTTCTGGTTTCTTATAGGAAGCCAAAGCTGGTCCAATGCCTTCACTCTTTCTGGCTTAGTCTGAAGAGTAACATGTGTAGCGTTGCAGTTTTGAGGAATCTGACACATGATATCCGCAGTGACAAAGAGAAAACCAAATTTTTCTGTATGTTGTAAAATGTTTGTTGGAGTTGTATTTGATAACTGGCCTGCACAGCAGAAAAGACAGTAAAGAGGTTTGGCGGAGTTTGTTTTGAATATACTAATAATGCGTAAATCAAATCCTTTCACTCTCTGGTCCATGAAGGCTGACACCAGGAAGTGGTCAGTGTTGTTCAGGGGGGTGATGGTGTGCTCAGCAGTCCCCACAGGGCATATTTTCGGAGGCTCCGGCCTTGGGGGGGAAAAGTACTCCACAGGAGATGTCCCAGTGACATAGAGAATGAAAATGATGGTAGAAACCATAGTAGAAACGAACAGGAAGAACAGTTTCCCTCTGGGTTCTTTTGCTTTTTTCATCTGGCCAAAGAGGGTAGATTCCCAAACTGAGGCAGAAATACAAACAACAGTTAGAGACATGATACATTTCACTAGATTTAGATGGTCTGTTTTGTTTCTGCACACAGAGGTGTCATGCCATTTTAAAATGGGGGGACTGGGACCTCAGATTTTTTAAAATCTGACAGGATTTTTCTCATATCTTAGTATTTAAAGAAACATCTGATTTTTATAGCATATGTAGAAATGATCAATTATATTTCATGTATGGAACAGATCTGAAAAGCTACGAATAAATGAACAAATAAAAGGTGAGGAATTTTGCATGATTTAACTGAGGTTCCAGACTGATCGAGAAATAATAACAATTATGCCTTTGATTAGAAATGTTAAAATGGAGAAAAAAATTGAAAAATAGAAGAAAAGATTGCAGAACATGGCACATTCTTCCAATGCTTTTCAAAGAAGACCCCTTCGCCCCACTTCAACTTTAGCCTGAGCACCCACTACCAACTACTGCTTGAAAAATCGCGACCAAGATTTCGGATAATTTTTAGCCAATCAAATTTATTTAATGAGAAATTGTGCAGTTTGTGGCTTCCATCAGACTTTTTTGTACCTCAGACAGTAAAAACATCTGACGGAAGCTAGAAACAAAACAAACACGTTTAAAGCCCACTGCTGACACTTCCGCGACTCTTTCTGCTAATTCATTTATTTTCTAACAGATCAAACTCCGGTTTGACTAGACAGAGAGTCCATTACTGTTTTACAGTACAAACATTGATTGCTGTTCCATCCAGCCCGCTTTTATTTTTTCTAAACGGCTTTGTTTGTCTTTCGCCATGCCTGGATTGACTTCAGTTGTAAATGTGACACAATGACACTGTCCAGCCCGGAAGTTTGGTTCCAAAGCATCCTTGAGTGAGATTATTGGACCTGATAGGACACTAACTTTCCCTGTTTTACTGACCGCAAGAGTGATAAGGCACAGAGTTATTAATAACCCTGTGGAGACTGGTTCCATCTCTCATCAGTTTGAAAAGCTAAGATATTTCACCCCGACTCAGAACCCGATCATTCATATTCCTTTTGCAGGGTCAAACAGCATTTCCTGCAGATATGTCTTAAATCTCAGCAGAGAAACGCCTGAGTGCTTCTCTTGACTAAATATTAAACTGGGTAAACTACTGATCAAATCATTCAGTAATAGCTCTCATGTGCATCACGTATTGTTTTTTTAATAAATCCTAACAACTCTGCACGATACTGTAGGACTGGAATGCCATGATCCCATACGACCATCTAAAGTCTGCTGTTAAAGTTTAACTTTTTGAGGTGTGTTGGAAATGAACTTTGTGGGCATGTATGAATTCCAAAAAATGGATTATTAACAAATGTTCCTTAGTTTTATTTCCTCCTATGGGGAGGTGGTGCACCTTAATGATGCAAAATAGTGACCCATTATTTTGGTACAAGATTTGTTATGAATTCTTAATTCCAAAAATGATCAACTGAGCACAAAAATAAAATCAAGTAATTACAGGATGAAGCACTTTGTTCAGCTTTTCTCAGGTTAGACAAGTGTAGGCTGTATTGCTGCTGTCTGGAGTTTTAAAAATCTAGTCGTCTATTTTTTTCATTTCTGATTCCCTCGCTGTTTTTCGTAACAATAAAAGTGTAAAAAACTCAAATTGATAAAAAAAAAGTGCAGATCAGAGCATTTCTCAAATCAGTTTAAATTTCCTCATTCCTAATGACAATCTCTCACAGCCGCTCGCTCAGCTTCAGGCAATAACTAGAAACTAGAATGACAGACTGACAAGTAATGCCAGATTTACCTGCGGAAAATGCATGGGAATGCTGACCGCTGAAATGTTTTGCAAAACAGTGCTGAATGAAGAAGAATGAGCAGAAACAGCTGAAGGATTAGTAGATGAAGAAAAAGTAGATGTAGAAGAAGAGGAAAAAGTAAAATAAAAGTAATAGAAGATGAAGAAAAAGTAGTACAATCAGAAGAATAAGAAGTAGAAGAAGAAAAAGCAGTAAAAGCAGAACAAGAACTCACTCAGAGCTGAAGTGTGGTTAGTCCTCTCCTCAGTTGAAGTTAGGCAAAGCAGGCGGGGATGGTTATGAGTCTCTGTCCTTCAGGTTTCTGCCAGGTGACAAATATTAATTTCCCAGTTTGAGATCAATAAAGTAATTCTATTCTATTCTATATCCTCCACTACCATCTGATTCCCTCCTCTCCACCTTTAAATCTACTCCCAGGTCCAACAAACTCTGTGTCTAACACACCTGCGACTCCGACTCTCTGTTGGGCGGGGTGATGCCAAAGCAGTGATGTGTGTATTTTGCGTGCTGCCGCACATCTGCTGCCTATCAGAACAATGACCCCATTAATCAATAGTTTATACTGAATGTCAGACAAAAGTATGCAATATTAACAACATTATGAGCTCACAAGAATAATTTCCGGTTGGATTACTACACTGCAAAAAAGCCAACTTGTATTTTTTGGCCTAAAATTTATGTTGGTAAAACTTGAAAATATAAATTATTTACATTTAAGGCAATAATGTTAGTTCAATAAAAGCAAGACAGTTGTATGCTCCAAAACACTTTAGTGAGTTGTTAATAGTTAAATCTTTAAGTTAGGGTTCAATACAAGGGACAACAGTTCTGCTAACTCTGATTTGTTTGTTGTGAAATGTGTGAAATTATCACTGGAATTATTAAATCCGAACATATGTTTAAATAAAAATAATTAAAATGAAATTAATTGAAATAAATAAAGTAAAAATATAAAAAGAGTTAAAAGTTACAGTGCAGAGTTAAAATTTAAAATCTAAACAGAGATTAAACAAAAAAATGTTTAATGAAAGGCAGCTGTAAACAGGTGTGTCTTCAACCTCGATTTAAAAGAGCTGAGAGTTTCAGAAGACCTGCAGTTTTCTGGGAGTTTGTTCTAGATATAAAGAGCATAGAAACTGAACGCTGCTTCTCCATTTTTGGTTCTGACACCGGGGACAGAGAGCAGATCTGTCCCAGACGACCTGAGCGGTCTGGATGGTTCGTAATTAATCAGGAGGTCACTAATGTATTTTGGCCCTAAACCTTTAAGCGCTTTATAAACCAGCAACAGGATTTTAAAGTCTATTCTCTGACAGACTGGAAGCCAGTGTAAAGACCTCAGAACTGGACTGATGTGATCCATTTTCTTGGTTTTGGTGAGGACTCTAGCAGCAGCGTTCTAGATCAGCTGTAGTTGTCTGACAGATTTTTTTAGGCAGACCTGTAAAGACACTGTTGCAGTAATCAAGACGACTGAAGATAAAAGCATGGACAAGTTTTTCCAGGTCCTGCTGGGACATAAGTCCTCTAATTCTTGATATGTTCTTCAGGTGATAGTAGGCTGACTTTGTAATTGTCTTAATGTGGCTTTTAAACTTGAGGTCTGAGTCCATCACTACGCCCAGATTTCTTGCCTGGTCTGTGGTTTTAAATCCTACTGACTGAAGCTGATTGCTGACTCTTAGTTGCTCCTCCTTTGCTCCAAAAACAACAACCTTGGTTTTGTTTTTGTTTAGCTGGAGAAGATTTTTGCACATCCACTCACTGATTTGTTCTATGCATTTACCCAGTGCTTTTATGGGAGCATGGTTGCCTGGCGACATTGTAATATATATTTGTGTGTCGTCTGCGTAGTTATGATAACTTAAAAAAATATATATATATAATCTGAGCTAGTGGACGCATGTAGAGGTTAAACAGAAGAGGCCCCAGGATGGAACCTTGGGGAACTCCACAAGTAATTTTTGTTTGCTCAGATTTGAAGTTACCTATAGACACAAAAAAGTCCCTGTCCTTTACCATAGGATTCAAACCAGTTTAGTACTGTGCCAGAAACTCCCACCAAGCTTTCCAGTCAGTCGAGACTGTGTTGGAGGATAATAACGACGCAGCTCCTCAAAGTGTCGTGAGTGTTGGTGTTGTTGTGGAAGAAGAGATTGTCCTTCAAGATCTCCCTGACCTGCCAGCTGCTTTTGCTTACCTCTTTGGACTGATCTATGCTTTAAACCTGAAGTCACCCGAAAGATCTGAGGTACACATTTGAAACTGTTCAGAAGGTTTTCATGGAACTTGGTACAGACCTCTCTGCAAGGGTCAGATCCCTCAAAAACAAACTCCTTCAGTGAATCCACAAGTTAACTGACAATGTTGGATGTGAAATGATGTTGACCTCTAAAAGTTCCCTTCTGTCCAGCCAACACCATGTTAATTTACTCTTGCTGTTACTCACTCTCAACTCTTATGTACCTCCATCTCCAACTCTTATATTTATTTTGCACTTTTATTGGGTTTTTCTTAAACATGTTACATGTTAAGATTCAGTGTTTGTAAATTGTCACATAGTATTGAGCAGTGTTACAAAAAAGAATATGCTGATTATTTTGAGACCGGAAGTTACGGCGCTCAGTTACCTTGTTAACAGATTTATTAGATTCATAGTTGTGTATCATGGTTCTGTATGGTCTTGTATACATGACTCATGTTTGATCTTTTATTCAATCTCAAAGTTTACAAGTATACAATGTAGCACAAGTTGACTGCTAGGACTGGGACAATTGGGTCTCATCTGTTTTTACTTGGCCCTGTTGAAAGGGATTTGATGCTGGTACAGTTTAAATAAAACAAATGTTTTGAATGTATATGTTGCATCTGTAATTATTTATACATTTGATTAGAAGTTATTGGTTACATTATATTATTTATATAACATTATAACTATTGCAGTGTGCAATTTGAAATTCCTCTTAAATTATTCTGCTATACTAACTTAACCAAATTTAAGTGGATTCTGTGTAAGAATTCAGAGTTATTACAATGTAAAATTCTAAGTTAGTGCACTTTACGGGAGAGTTAGCAGAAGTAAGGATTAAAAGTTATTACAATGTAAACTTCTA